CCAGCTTATCTCTACATAGCTGTAGCCTCAGTGAGCATAAACCAATCGATTAGCAGAGATTCAAGGCAGAATGTTAAAAAATTGTGAAAAAATTTTTCCCGTGAAGGCATCAGAGAACAAAGCGTTACTTTCACCAACCCCGTCCGCGATGCGTCGCCGACTCTGCTTCATTCATTCAGACCAGTTTAGCGCCGCGCGCATCACATGGAACTTGAGTGAAACTGTACGATCTCCAGAATATCAGGTCACGTAAGGAATTAAATCCCGGTAGCATTTGAATACCTTATGGCCCAAACAATGGATCGCAACTCCAGCAGATGTACGAGCCATCCTTTTTATCCCATGATACGAATCTGCTAACAAATCGCCGATTGAAGAGGATTGAGGGTTGGTTGGCCTGGGCAAGATTTGATACGAATTTGTCCCTCGGACCTTAAGCGCGGTAAGTCCCACAAGTAGTACCGCATCATCTCCGCGCGCAGATAGACAGTAAACCTCAATAGTGGATTTCGAATACTCTCTATTTAGCAGCTATTTTTAGCTACTTCAAAATCAGAAAGAAAAATTGCGGAGTCATCTACTTACGAATTCATTTTGTATTGAGCCTGGTCGTTGGGTGCGAATCTCCTTCAGTAGATCGCTCATTGCCAGGCAATCTTCCTAGAATGTCCCATTCAGTTCTGACAATAAAGCTATGAAATGGTGAAGAGAACTAACGCCGTTCTGCATTTTCTCCGTCACATAGGAAATGGCAACAATTGTTCCCGTTCTGCCAATACCTGCCGAGCAGTGCACAATGACCGGACCGGAAGAGTTACGGACCCTAGCGAGGAGATTCTGAAAACTTCTCTTCAGGATGCTTGCAGTAACAAGATCAGATCACAGGACATAAGCAACAAATCCCGTGGCCCGCTCCTCCGGCGAGCGACTCTCGTGAAAATATTCAGTAACGTATGGTCGTTGAGCAGCGTTCACGGCTCACATTTTGGAGGATGGTGATTTGTGGGTCGTCTAATGGTAAGGGGAAATGTACACGGGTTGACTGGGGAAATCGTTGAGTCGCAGAGAGAACTAGCCGAGTTCAATCTAACTGATCGTACTTCTTTCGTCGAATCGCCGAACCTCCAGATCGATAAGTGTACGTTCATTTCTACTGAAATCGCCAAACCTTCCGAAATCTGAGCCAGAAGCCTCACGAAATGTTGAATTTTGGTCGCCTTCGTCTTGCGCCGCCCGTGACAAAGGGTCACACACCACATTCCTTCTCGCACACGTCCCTTTTCTTCCATTCAATCGAGAAGGATATATTTATGAATGGAGCTCAAGTTTGGAAACAAGCTTGTAACTCTCATCTTATCAGGAAAGGATGTAGATCCAAGCAGAGACGGGCGCAGTTGGGTGCACGATGCTATCGATGACTGAACACGGTGAGTAGATCGCCTATGCCGTGTGACCGATTTTAAAAACTCACAATCCCCTAATATCCCCTCCCCTTCCCTTCCCACCCGCACCCCTCAAAGATCTTTCATGACGTCGGCAGTGTCAAGTGAGTCGAGGTTCACACCGACCACAACGGCACACGTCATATCTCACTAAATCATCCCATATCGTCCAAATTTATGATCTGGTAGGAAAGTTTCATCTCAACTAAGATGTGAAAACTTACAATTGCTGTGAACTTTGATTGAGGAACACCTCGATCCGGCCAATTTTCCCATTGATAATGGTGGACAATTGAAGAAGCATCCTTGCCGGTATCCTTATCCTTGTAATCCAGCTTGAGTTTGGTAACACGAACAAAGTAGTCCTCTTCGGACATGGGAGAAACCTTAATGTTATCGAGCCGTTAATTAGCTTGTAATCAACGAGCTTATTTTGAACTTTTGTCACAGTAGGTGAAAATCTTTCTGGAGGCAACATATTTTACCCAATCTGGCCAGGACAGTACTGCCACTACTGAAGAGATCCAGGAGAGTCTGTTTTGTTAAGCGAGGTTAGGGAGCCCCGCGCAAATGGTGTGGAACTGCGTAAACTTTTGGACAGCTACAGTTGACCCCTTCTCAGCGTAGGCACTTCCCGAAACGGAGTCAGTAGACTGATATTGCTCCTGGAAGTAACCTAAACTCTTTGACTACTACTGAAATTATTTATTTCGTGATAACCATGTTTTGTGTTCACCCAGATCAACGAATGTGAGGTGAGACAGCGCGCTGGCATAAATATGTTAAAAGCAAGCGGTACGGTGAGCGAGGTCGAAGAAGAGGAGCATTCCTAATATAGAAGGAGGGAGGTATTCCAAGGGAACGCGACAAGGTGCGTTTACTGCAAAATGTGCACATTTATCAGCCCACCAGGGCCTTATCGCGGCAGTGAGTTCCTTCGAGCAGGGTCAACCGTCTGTTCGAACTGTTCGAACGAAGGGGTCGCATTTTGGTCGGAAGGGGGTCGCAATTTCGAGGACTGTCAGCCACAGGCGCGTGCGTGGCGTATCCGAGGGCAAGAATTGTTTGTGCAGACCGCATTAGATTCGATTAATTATGCACAAAGAGACAGTTTTGGGCAAATTACGGTGTTTTCCTTGAGGAATAGAGAACAGTTGAATGCATCTCCATGAAAAGTTTGACTTCTTGTGGCTGAAATTGAACTTCTTCGGGAACCTACTTTTCTACGGACGGTTCTTCCACAAAATCGTGAAACACATAAGAAAGAAGAAACCTCGCGGTCTTCAAAAATGTCTTCGCCTCTTTCCAACATGCTCTTTGAAGGAAGTTATTATTGCTGAAAGCTCGAAACCTCGCATGTGCTGCTCAAAAACCTATGGGATCCAAATGTTCGAACGTGGGATTTTCTCGAAAAATGAACTTTGAAAAATGGTTTAGGGCTTGTTAGAAAGAGCAAATTCTGCTCTTTCACCCCATGGAAAGAGGGAAACGCAGCAATCAAAATGAAGTGCCCGGGAAGCGAGAGGTGCGGGTTCTAGTCCCGCCTGGGGCGAAAGTTTTGTTCACAACCCAGCATTCTTGTGAAACATTCGCAACGCGAACTGCGGCGTTAAAACAGCAGTTAACAAACAAAACAAGTCAAAATTTTTGCTAAAAATTCAATGATTTTTTGAAAAGAATTCATTCAAATGCCAGTGAAGAATTCAATATTCAAATGTTTTGTTCAATGTTTTTATGTCATGGAAGTTCATTGTCTTTAAAAGGTTTTAGTTCACTGTCTTTGAAGTAAAATGAGTGAAATAAATATTTCACTTAACATTTAGTCAGCACATTCGGCACTTCCATTACCTAAGAGGGGGTCGCAACTGGACCCCCTTGAGATAAGGGGGTGACCCCCTTGAGAAAAGGGGGTCGCAAAAACCCTGAAAATGTTCGAACGTGACGGTTGACCCTGCCGTGTCCAGCTGTCCAGAAGAGCCCATTTGCCACCTCAAGCAGTCGCCTATCATCGATGTCTTGTCATTTTAGCAGAGAGATAGAGCAATGCGTTCACATGTGAAGACTTCCCTTGCGCGGCGATCAGTGGGACTAACTAAGGTCCCGTTTTGCAGGTTTCACATCGTTTCCCTTGGATTTTTTTTATCTTGATGTGCGTTTCGAGCGCTAACACATGCCGAATGACCCATTGGCGTTGCCGCTTCGTCCATTGTTGGAGGTCGACCCACCAACAAAGAGGTCCTATTTAGTGGATTCTTTGCTTTTTTCATCAATGGAATTGTTTAGCACCCCACTCCCAATACAAATCCAAATAGATGCTATCGCATTCCTTCGCTTTACTCACATCCAAATTAGTTACAGTGATTTTCCCTTCGTTATCTTCTCCAAATGTCATCACCTCGCCAACTTCATGTGGCCAGTACTGTTCGCACTTGTTCCTATCCTGGAAGAGCTGCGTTAGATGTATGAATTGTAGACCTTAGTAGTTTCATACTATAATAATCGGCAGCACTGCACTATTGTTTAATTCAGTAAGGTGAAATTTTATTATCAAATATGTGTAAGCTCACGCATTCGATAGTATTACACAACATCAGAACATATTCAGCCTTTTTCTTGAATAACCATTGCCCAAAATGCTTGCATTGTGCCGAGAAGACGGTCCTAAGAAAAAGTTATGTTAAAGGCACGCTCCGGGATTAGGCGCGCTCGCCTGTTCCATCCCGGGGGTAGTAGACAGGCGGACAAGCGTTGATGTCGCGCCCCTTTTGCCGCTTGAAAGTGCGCGACAAAGGCGCAAGGAGCTCGTCCGACCCGCAACTCACACCTTCGTCCGCAAGCCCCACCCTCCGCTGTCGGTTGCCACGTGGCGCTGCTTGAAAAGCGCGGGCGCATTTGAGGCAGCGGTCCCATTGCGACCCAATGTCATTGGCACTGGAGCAACTAGAGTTAGGTTCGTGAAACTCGTCCAAAGCGCCCCTTCTCTATTCCACGGTAGGGTCAACCGTCTGTTGGACAGTGTCTAACGAGGGGGTGGGGGGATGGTTTTTTATGAAACGGAGAGTGGGGGTTATTGTGGCTGGGCTTCTGGGTTAAGTGCGAAAATTCTGCCGTTTTACGTTCGATATATACTCCCCTCCCCGCCTGTCCGCACGACGGCAGTTTTGCGGAGGGGCGGGGGGAGTGGGAGGGGTTGGGCTGTGTCGACTGGTTCCAAAATCAAGTACTGAGACATAGCCCCTAGCAGGCGATTGTGAAGGGTTAACCCTGAGGGGAGGTCGTATCGAGGTTCTCTAGAAGGGGGAGGGGGTCGTAAAATTTTCGAAATTGGTCCAACGTGACGGTTGACCTATCCCAAGGTGGAATGCGGCTGAAATAGGGGAGGTTTCTGTACGGGGCGTAATCGGTGGTTTCGTTTGCTTTCCTTCTCTTTTACAGACCACCTCCCACCTCTAGCTTCATAACTGAACGCTTTTCCACACCTATTTTATCCCGAATCTTGCCTTTAACATCAAAGGCACCACTCGTATCATGACTGAAGCTCACTAGTTCGTAGCACTGCTTGAACAGGCGCGTCAAGAATTTGTAATTCGTTTTGATTATTACCCTAATTTCCGGTAGATAAGCCCGCGCCGATATCACGTAAAAACACCTCCGCTGGTGCAGTGCACTTGCGTACATCTAGAAACAACCGTAACTTGCCCATAGGGACAATATGCCGATTACGAAAACGACATATATTAGGTTGGAAAGAAAGTTCTGCGACACTCTTTCTAAAATTTTCTTTTTTTCTGAAAAATTCATAGGTAACATTTATGACTAACAAATGGTAGAGCATTCTCGAGGCTTTAATCCACGAGGTGGATATAAGTGCTGCAGTCAGTAGTTATCCAAGAAAATTCAAAAAACCTCGACCACTAGTAAATCCATACTCCGAGTCACTGTCTAGTACAAATGTCTCCATAACTATGGATTCGTGTCAACGACCAACACTATCTGCAATAGCTTCAATAGGCATGTCGTTCACCGCTACAGCGTGTTTCACCTTTACCAGCGCTTCCGATCTTTTGATATTTTTATAAGAAGCCAGCAGCGTCCCTACACTCCATTACAGGTAGGGCTCTTACGGAAGCTCCACTACAATTCTTCGTTATGGGCACCATTGTGTAGGTAGAGGTCTAGGCTGCGGAACTCCAGAAGCTGGCCGAGGCAGCTCGTCAGGAGCCCTCGTACCGCGACAATATTATTTCTTTCATGACATTGCGAATCACCATGATCCGAAATGAGCCCGGTAAGAAATTCTGGAGTTGCGGCAAGATTTCTTACCTCTCTTAGCGTAATTCCCCTGGTCGAGCTATAAATGACTGCACCTATCCTGGACCTTTAATCATCATCTTGATGACGAAATAATTAGACGATCAACTCCAACTCGAAAGTGAGGTCGCCTCCTTTCTCGACCCGCACTCCGCTGGGTTTTGGAAAAGGAGCATCAAGAAATTTTCTGAGCGTTGAAGACAAGTGGTGGACACTCATGGTAGATATAGACCGGTCAGGAGTTGTAAACAAAAAAGATAAAATTAAAATCAAAAAATTGAAAAAGTGTTCGCAGGACTTTCTTTCCAACCTAATATTTTTAGCAGTGGCGCCATCTGGCGCCAGTTGGCGTCACCTTGTCACGACCCTTGTTTTCACCAAAATCGGTGTAAACTTCTGTATAGGGGTTATTTGGTGCCCTGATTACGAATATGACATTCGTTTTTGGCATTAACGTTGTTCAACGCATATTTCTCGGTTGGAGAGCGCAGACGAGCAGAAAATAGGCGCCAAATAGCGCCAGCGCCGAGAATGAATGTCATATTCGTAATCAGGACACCAAATAACCTCCTATAGAAGTTTACACCAAATTTGGTGAAAACAAGTGTCGCCAGATGGCGCCACCGCTAAAAATGAAAGTCATTTTCGTAATCAGGGCATCGACTTACCTCTATAGGCAAATTTACGGTAGTTTCTAAGGTGTACAAAGTTACACTGCACGAGCGGAGGTGTTTTTACGTGAAATCGGCGCGGGCTTATCTACCGGAAATTAGGGTAAGTGCGATAACATGAATGCAGAAACTG